TATGATTTCCGTTTTCTAAATAGTCCTTCTAGGATTGGAGGTAGATGTTTGACTCTCGGGTGTCAGTGCATCTGATTTTCCTTTTTAAATAGTAAGTGCAAAAAAAGTCAAAAAATCCTGAAATTTTTTGGCAACAAACATGATCAAGTGTTACACTCGTGTAAATTTTTTTGCCAAGGAATAACTTTGATTGTGGGCAGAAAAAAAAACAAATTCGACACTATAGACTCCCTCCGTTCCATAACGTTGCGCACATAGATTTTTTGAAAAGTCAAATTTTGCAAACTTTGACTAAGTTCATAGAGAAACTTCAAATATATAAAATATGAAACTACCTCTTACCATGAATCTAATGACATATGTTTGGCATTCTAGATGTAATTTTTTTCGCACAAGCTTGGTCAAAGTTTATGAGGTTTGAATTTTCAAAAAAAAATCTATATGCACTACATTATGAAACAGAGGGAGTACAAGTTACTGTTCATTCTTTTTGTCCTAAAAAATGTTTTTCCCCAGAAGTTATGAAAGTTTTCATTGACGAAACTTTTTATACGAGTACAACAGAAGGTCAAGTATATTTTCAAAAAGTTCAGATTTTTTAAACTTTTCTTGAAACAATGTTTTTAAACTTTTTTTACAATTGCTAATGGTATGTTTTTTCCATATCAGGTGCACTGACATCTGAGAGCTAGCCAACGGGTGTACATTTCCCTCCTTCGGGAGAAGACGCGTTAGGGTCGCTAGGCACGTAGAACACGGGCAGCAATCTCCATGGGATGGATACCTTTTCTGTTTCAGATTTTTGTGAACGCAACCTTGTGATCCAAGAATCTTGGCTCAAAGCGCGTCTGAAAGCTACACGGTGCTCCTCAAGCAAGTTGCACTGTTGAACCGACCCATGTCCACTACCATACCAAGCACAAGCAGGAGTAACACATGGCTTTGGTGGCCGTATGTACGTATGAGCGACGTACTTTCGCCGGTTATAGTTTATACTCATTCACTCCATGCGTTTGCGGAGTTTGTCAAGAAAGGCGAAAGGTGCCAGGACCGCGGAGAACACGGAAAATACTAGTGAAATTCCATTGCTTTTTCAAGAGGATTTGGTAGCTAGAGAGAAAAATTTAAGCATGTGTGGCCTGCAGTCGTATATATAATTAAGCACGTTCACGAGTCACGACCATCTATCCCGTCGCGCTCAAAAGTTCCCGGAGAGGAGAACCAATTCAACAGTAGCATGCACCTTTATTAAACAGCCCACACCACACGTATTAGTCGTACAAATTTATTTATGCCCTGCGTACACACCACACACTATACTGACGACCGACACTGCAGCCTCGCGAGTGCGAGAAAGGAAGGAATGCTCCCCCAGGTTCTTCATCAGGATGAAAACATGCAACGACTCTTTGCTAGCTAGCTAGCGTTCCCTGATCTGATCATGGCCTTGAGGAAACTTTGGCAGGTACTTAGGCCAACTCCATCGCGCGATCTCATCCTGTCCGACCTTATTCGTTTGAAGTAAAACGGACAAATGAAACGGTCCAGCGCGCGACGGCCCGGATCTATCTGATCCGTTTTGTGTCCGGGCCGACACATTTCGAGCGCATCTTTGCGTCGGCTTTGGGTCATCGCGGACACCGAACGGACGCGCCGCTCGTCCGTGTCTGGCCGCGTGGCGGGGCGGCTACCTACCTCTCACCCGACAACATCAATGCGCACGGGTGGCCAACCCCGCCTGTCGTCGGTCCAGTGGAAGGTCGCCGTCCTTCTTAAATGGGGAACTCGTGGACCGGTCATCGTCCACACTGCCTCACTCCATCCCGCGGCCTCCTCGAAACCCGACCGCGCTAAACCCTAGCCATCCTTTGTCGAGCTCGCCGGCCGGCCACCTCGAAGCCATGGGCTTCTGGAACCGCAAGGGGAAGCACGACCGCGAGGCCGGCTCCTCGTCGGGGCGCCGCGCCGGCTCCGTGAAGAAGGAGGCCGCATCACCCCACGCCGGGCCCCCGCACCGCCCGCTTTCTCCATCGCCCCCACATTCGCCGGCGAGCGCGACCGGCACTACATCCGCGCGTCGGTGTGCCGCCTTTATTGGGAGACGAGGACGCCGCTCCCCTGGAGCGACGTCCACCTCCCCAACGGATGGCACCTCAGCGCCGACCGTGTGCCGATCCCGCCGGTCCTGGCGAGCGGCCGTGCACGCCGTCAAGAGATCGAGCGCCGCCGCCGCCTCCTCCCCGACGACCTGTACTACGACGATAGGTACGCCCCGGACTCCTCCCTCTGGGATACCTGGCTCAGGGACGAGCACGACGTGCGGCGTGCCTCCTTCGTCGCCGGCACTGCGTCTGGGCCGCGGCGGCCACGTCGAGAGCGCGCAGCGCCTGCTCCCCAGCGCGGGGCGTAGGCTGGTGCCCGGCCTCACGCCCACGCCCTCGCCGTCGCCTTCGTCATCTCCACCACCACCTCCTCGCATGACAGCGGAGGAGGAGGCCCGTCTCATGGCGCATGTCATGGAGGACTCCATGTACACACATGATGAGCGGCAATGGAAGGGCCTGGAGGAGATGATGGCCCGCTCCGCCGCCGGCGAGGTAGCCATCCCCGAGGAGGAGGCGATGGAGGAAGAGCCGGTGGCCGCGTTCCACCTGGGTCTGCTGGGCCAGGGGTGGGGCTGGTCCTGCACTGCACCGGATATGGCCGCCGCCGTGGGCGTGAACTGGTGCGCCACTCCGCCGCGGTCACCGGAGCGGGAGGCGTCGCCACGGGAGGAGATCGTGCTGGCACCTCCTGCCGTCCAGCCCGCCCCCGTATACCACGCACCGCCGGCCCACCTCTGGACGCCGCCGGCCTACGTGGACCTCGTCAGCGACGACGACGATGCCGGCGGCCACTGAAGACGGCGACGGCGACGGCATCGACGGGCATGGGCAGGAGCGCGCTGGCGGCGGCCGTTTTTTATTTTCTTTTTTATGTTTAATTATGTCAAGTTGGAGTGAAACTAGGCCATTTTGTGGCCGTGACAACCCTAACTAAATTTTATGTTTATTAAACTGCGCTTATTTAATTTTTTTAGTCATTTTATTTATGTTTTTCTTTTTTTTTCAAATCATGTCCAACGCGGACGTGATTTGGGGTGCGGCCGCGCGGTGGACGCACGCACGACCCGACGAACAAGACCGGACACGGTCGAACCCTGTCGGCGCCCCAAAGTGACAAAATATAGCCAAATCAAACGTCCGTTTGGGGTCGCGCGATGAAGATGGCCTTATTTCGTACCGTAGGCACGCCTGATAAGTACTTGGTGAGCGATCACATCACGCTCGCTGTTGGCGACGTGTGCCGGCCGGCCGGGCCCGATTCCGTGGAACAGCATGCACCGGCAAGTGCTCATGGCGGCGGTGCCGACCCTGTCCCTTCCCCTGCTTGGCTGCCCGCCACTGCATACCGATGGTCGGTTTCAGGACATCCGATCATCACCTCACCTCCTGTCCTGCGCTGTGAGCCTGTGACCACCACCAACCGAATCGATGGCCGACCGACCGACCGACCGACGGACGGAAGGGAACAGAACCACTTGGAAACAACAGCGAGCGGTAGCCGGTAGGAGGGAGGGCTAGCGGTAGCGGATGCTCGGCAGCATTATCATGTGCGGTCTAGCGCAAAAGGGAAGGAGGGAGATCGCCGTATCTTCCCGCGCGCGCGTGCGTGGGATCGATGGAGGAGCATATATGCCCATGCAACGTGACAGGAGGGCGCGCAATATACAAACCCTTGCTCTTATAATTTTTGCAGAGCCTACACGTACGGCCGGACCTGATCAAGCCTAAAATAACGAGGAGAATAATTCGAGCATGCAGCTTCAAAAAGAAAGAATTGTTCGAGCATGCAAGTGTGCTGCAGCTGACGTCAAAAGGCACACGCAAAAGAACATAAACAGGCAGTGCATTCCATTTCCATACCGAGTAGACTAGAACGTACTCCCTCCGTTCTTAAATAGAAGTCTTTTTAAACATTTCAAATGGACTACAACATACGGATGTATATAGACATATTTTAGAGTGTAAATTCACTCATTTTACTTCGTATGTAGTCACTTGTTAAAATCTCTAGAAAGACCTATATTTTGGAACGGAGGGAGTAGTACTCATGTATTATTAAGTTGCTTGTCTTATCTGCTAATGAAGTCATTCTCTATGCCAAGCAAGATCATCCATACACCGAACGCGCGCTCGCTCGCGGATTCGTTTCGCTGTCCTTGATTTATTGCTGGATTATCTTTATTATCATTATCGAGTATAGTTTTTATGTCTGGATCATGTACGTGACGTGCTTGTCGTTGGTATTTCTACATCCCCACGTGTATCATGCCGCTTCTGCGTGCACTGTGCACGCAGCACAGCACATACAGCGCGCTGTCAGGCATCTTTGCTTTGTGGGAAGCTAGGGGCCAATCAACCAGTTAGACCTCCCTTTGCGATCTCTGCGCCACAGAGAGTATCTCCATTATTTGGATACTCCCAATTTTCTTGGGCAACTTGCACTCTTTCACATCACTAACTACTCCTTGGCTAGTATGCTACCACACAAAGTTTCCACATTGTTGACTGAAAATGAAAAGGATATCTTGTGTTTCGAGTAAAGCAGCTGAGGTAGATTACCTGTGCATACAAAGGATATTGAACGATGTTAGTCCAGACTGTTGGAAAAAGAAGAGAACAGCGGCTAGCAACCGGAACCGGAATGCAGAAATTGATAGAACAGTAGCTGCGAGATCCAACACAGTTTCTCCAAGTGATGCTGATCTTATTCTTAGCAGAAATTTTCTGCTAAACCGGCGGTTGCTAGATACAAAAAACAGACTTCAGCAACAAATCCAGCACGTATTGTACATTGTCGATCGAGGGCAGGGGCACGAGCACAGAGGAAGAAAAAGTTGGGAGAAAATAAGTTCACCAACTGTCTACGGCTAAACCAAGAAACAGACGACTCTCGGATCACCAAATCCTGGCGTGGACGGCAACATCCTGTCCGGCGTCGCCGCCGTCGGCCTCGTCCCCGGCGATCTGGTCGAGCACGAGGACGATACCCATGGCGAAGGCCGCGTCGAAGCCGGGGCCAACCCGCAGCACGAACACGTCCCTGCCCATCACCACCCGCGCCGCCTCGTCCACCTTCCTCCGGATCTCCGCCACCACCGTCTCCTCCCCGTCCTCGCCCTTGGCCACCACGCGGCAGCAGCGCCGTCCGAAGGAGCCCTCGACGCGGAGCTCGGCGGCAGCGGCGGAGGCGGGGGAAGGGAGGAGCTCGACGACGGCGCCGCGCCCGGCGCCGCCGAGAATGGAGGACCTCCGGGCGGAGAAGAGGGACTTCTGGCCGTCGGCGCGGGCGCCCAGGAAGCCCTCCCAGCGCTGGTGCAGGGACGGGCGGCGGCGGCGCACGGTGAGGAGGGGCTCGCCGGCGGGGCCGAGCAGCGCGAGCTCGCCCGGGGAGGCGGCGCCCCCGCCGTGGCCGCGGCCGTAGGTGTCGGCGCGGAAGGCGAGGCCGCCGGTGCGGTTGTCGTAGGCCGCGAAGCCGTCGCCGGGGGAGAAGTGGGAGGTCTTGCGCACTGTGAGCAGCCGCTCCTTGAGGTCGCAGTACTCCTCGCCCACCACCGCCATTGCTGCTAGCTGCTGCATCTCCCTCTGCGCGGGCGCGAGCTGCCTGTGCTCGAAGGCCGGGGCGCGCGCTCTCGTTGCTTGCTTGCTTGCTTTGGTAAGGTTCGGGAGCTCGAGGCTCCGAGGTCCACGATATATAGAAGGAGACCACACGCTCCGCGTTGGCGTTCAGTTCAGTAGGGATGAAGTGAGAACGGTCGGTGTAGATTCGAAGGTGGTGGGGTATCAGAGTGTTGATGTCGCAACGCATTCGTCCTTTCGGAGGTGCATGCACTCGGTCCATTGGACGGGTCTTGTGAACAACTTAAAAGGTGGATACGAAGGAGTATATATGTGTATATTGCAACGGATTTGTTAATTTCGTGCTGACTGAAATTGAATTCACCGACAATCGGTTTTTTGTTGGAAAAAATCTCCTCTTCTCTCTCCCTCTCTTTTTAGAGATTCCACTATGTACTATATACAAAGCAAAATGAGTGAACATATACTCTAAAATATGCCTATATACATCTGTATGTAGTTTGTAGTGGAATCTCTAAAAAGAATTACATTTAGGAACGAAGGGAGTATAACGGTGGGTGCGAGTCGGATCCCGCCATGACGCTGGGTGGGATCCCAAGCTGTTGAGCAGATGGCGGCGCCGAGGCGTGGCGAGACGTAATTTCAGCCGGAGCCAACAATGACACAGGCCTAGCATTCTTGGTGGGGTCGGGGCAATTTTAAACTTGAGATGGGCCAGGGTTCAAATTAGGGTTCGGGTCAAAGGAGTCATCGGTAAACCAAGGGTGGTTTAGTGAAACGTTTTAACAAGTGGTGGTGGCCATCAATCTGGATAGTGTGGAGCCAACGAAACGGAGGAATAAGGGTGAGGATGACTAGAAAAGTATCATGAGACTAATTTGATGTTCTACATATTGATATATTAGCATATTGCAACGGATTTGTTAATTTCGTGTTGACTAAAATCGAATTCATCGATAATCGGGTTTTTTGTTGTCGGAAACAATCTCCTCTTCTTTCACTCATCTTCTTTGATACTAGTGAGTACGAGTTGTAGCCCACCACGACATCGTTCAGGCTACAGCTTGTAATCACTGGCATCCGTTGATGACTTGAAAGCAATCTCCTCTTCTCTATCTCATCTTCCTTGATATTGGTGAGCACGAGTTGGAGCCCACCACGGCACCGGGCAGGAGATCGAGCCGCTGAGGGCATGGCGGTGTCAATGCAAGGCGGGATTTAATTCGAGCCAGTAGCAGCTGTGACACAGTGTCACATACACAAATGTTGTTGACAGAGTCAAGGCAAAATCAAAAATGAGATGAGTTAGAGGTTTAGATTAGGGTTGAAGTTGGAGGATGGTTTAAGAGGATCTTTGAGCAGGTGGGAATGGCCACCAAACTTGATGGTGTGGACCTCACAAAACGGAGGAATAAAGATAAACTGTGGGAATCGTAAGAGTCAATTTTAATATTCTAGATGTTAATGTAGTTTTTTATAACTTGATCAACTAGAAAAAGTCTAATTTAAAACAAAATATTGACTTAGAATGGAGGGAGTAGCGGCGTAGCCACTCACGGCAATTTGTATTGCTTCTTGGCATTTCTCATATGAAATGAGATAAGCCTTATAGGGTGTATTCTAGAAAGTTGTTCAACACATGGTAGTAATCAAATGACATAACTACAATAAATGTTAGATTGTATCTCACGAAGCGTTTTTCTTCCTGCCTCCCTCCCGCGAAATCCTAGGAGCTAGGGCAGCGCCGGTGGTCTAGCTCCTCGTCGGCGAGATCACGGGCCTCTCACTCCCTCTGTTCGCCACTTCGGTGACAAGAGGGGCAGGGACCTGTTTGTTTCGGACCGGTGGTGGTAGGGTGAAGTTTTTAGATTAGGTTTTAGTCCATAGTTAACGGTGGTGAGATGGTTTGTCCTCTCCATGCCTCGCCCTCGCCGTGATGGTGCTTCTTGGCATCGTTTGAAGGCGTAGGTGGATGGTTTGTCATAAGATTTGGTTTTCCGGGCCGGGTTTTTCTTCCGCAGGTTCGCCTCGCTGGCGCTGTGGTACGGAACGGATGGCGCACAAGTGGCACTCTCTGGCCAACACCCAACAAGTGGCGGTGCAAGCATTGAACCCGGACGAACGCACGAATACGACAGGAGTACGATCGAGGTGCGTTCCTAGCTAGCCGGCGCAGCCACGTCCACAGCCCTAGGCACCTAGCAAGCCAATAATCCCCATTCCCATGCCGTCGAGGTCGCGAGGCCGACGACGACTTGGCGCAACGCGCGGCGACCACGGTGGCCGGCCGGCGTATGGCGCGGACTGCGCGTGAGGATTAATTGCGCCGCCGGATTGTTTCCTCGGATCGCAGCAAACGTGTAGACAGAGTACAGCATGGGGCAATGGAGTACGCTACGTGAACGTGATGACGCGTACATCTTGGGCGCCTCGTACGTGCACATGGGTGGACGGACCTAACAGAAGCGCCGACCGATCAAGTTGACGCTGCCGGGTTCGATGCACGGCGTGCCATACATACACCGAACTCGAGAGAAAATTGGAGTCTCGGCACGGCGGCGACTGATCCTGCCGTCCTGCGTCGATGGATCGAGCACGGCGTACCGTCCTCGACCAGGGATACGCTGACGTCACTGGTTTTTCAGGTTTTGTTGTACAGCTCAGCCCTATCCGGTTTTGTCCACGGCAAGCAAGCACGCGCACCAAGCGCACGCGGTAAAGCCTGGACCAGCGCGATCCAAAGATAGGACCCTCTTGTCTGGCGAACGTTTGCTGGGAGTGAGTGACATTTGCGAACTTTTATACTGTATGACATTTTTAGTTCCATAATAGATACATGTCAATCGCCTGACTTTTAAATTTGCGGTCAGTCGGTTTTTGGTTGAACGGAGAAACAAAAGGAGAGGAGGAAGAACTCGCCGGAGGGGAGGAAGAAGCTCGCTGGGCTGGCTATCCCATCATCTATCTTAGGGTGGGGGAATGGGGGAGGCAGCACGGCGGTTGGGGAGGGGGGACAGCACGGTGATGGTGAAGGTTTGCTGGAGAGAAGAAAAGGCGAGGCCTGGGCCTAGAGGGATGGTCGGAGGCGGCAGCGGCATGGTGGTGGGAGGAGGTTTCGGGAAGGACGGGGCGTCGAGGTTGCCCGGTAGCGCCATCGGCCGCGGGTGGTGGTGGCCGGCGGTTCGGCCGATGCTCCGTCAGATGGTTGGAAGAAGATGCATTGGCAGGTTGAAGACGACTTGGCAGTCGTTAGATCGGAGATCGAGGGTGGAGAACAGTTGACTGACCCAAATTAGGAATTCAGTCAACTGGCACCTAGCCAATCCCTTTTAGTTCTATAGAGGTTGACAGTTTCTTCACAACAGCATGGCAGTTTCTGAAAAGATATATTTTTAAAGAAAAAGCGAGTAGAAGCTGCCATCAATTGATCTCGCGCCGTAACTAAAACTGCCAGCAAACAACATTTTTTTTTGTTTGTGAGGAGCGAATTTGTTTTTCATCCTCTTCACTAAGACGTCAGTTACATAGCATTACTTCAATGATTTTTTTTTGACGAAATGCAGCTTGGTTGCTTTCGTCGCGATTAGGAGTAAAACGTTACAAATGGGTAACCAGAAAGAAAACAAGGAGTGGCGGAGGTTGGGGTTGGGGAATAGAATAGTGTTGTTGTTGTTGTTGTTGTTGTTGTTGTTGTTGTTGTTGTTGTTGTTGTTGTTTCTAAACTAGCCCTCAACCAGGCTCCTTGGGCCTTTCAATTAGTGCTATCACCCAACGTCTCCCAGCATCGATCAATATCTTTGCTTCCTCCTGTATGTTGAAAAGAACCTGACCAATCGTAGAGGCTTGTTGGCTGAAGACACGGGCGTTTCGCTCCTTTCATAGTGACCATCAAATGAGCGCATTGATCGATCTTCAAGTTTTTTTCGCGTCCTTCGTAAGCCTCCCTGAAGTGTGTGTCATCCAGCTCGGGAGGGTATCATCTGTGGGCAGCAGCGCCATGTCGCTCGGCATCATCAACAAGTCAAGCACTCGAAGCCACAACCCTTGCGCAAATGGGCAGGTCGCCAATATATGCATCGCCATCTCTGGAGTTTGTTGGTATAGCAAACAGGTTGAGTTATGTGGCCACCCACGCTCGACAAGGTTATCAGCCGTAAGACAACGTCCTTGAATCGCCAGCCAAACAAAGAACTGGCACTTCGGCGGGGCCTCAGAGTTTCAAGCCATTTTGGCAAAGTCCTGCTTGATGGTTGCAGTAAAGAAAATTCTGTTCGCAGAGGCTGCGCTGTAAGCATCATTGGTCGTCCATCTTCATGAGATTGAGTCCCGTTGATCCGGATTGAGGTGCACTGCTTGAAGGTCGTGCCATAGGTTTGTAAACTGGAGGAGCGCAAACGTGGGCGGGCGTCCATTAACCAGACTTCAAGCGAAACTTAACAATTCTTTACACGCAGACATCATACCAGACCACCCGCTCACTTATCCGGCTGTAAAATATCGTCCGTGTCATGATCCTTTTCCCCGGGCGCGTGAGCAGGTCATCATCAGCCGTGCGCATCACGTCGTCGTCATGAAGAGGTCATGGGAAAAATATGGAAATATCGGCGCGTGGCCAAACCTTTTGGGATCATGTCCCCCCTTCGAGTTTATCCCGATTAGGCAGGTTAGATCCGGGCTGCCGTCAGCCATTATACGCACGCACACTTCGCGTCTCTCCGCCGGTACGCGCCATGCGCCACGTCGCCACGTCGCCATGGACACGAGGCATGGGCGCGCGATCCTTGGGGCCCCCGTTATCTCCCTGCTCCGGATAGTTCCACGGCGGCCGCTCGCCGGTCGCCGTGCTATGCTATGCTCCTCTCGTGCCGTGCGTGACCCGGGGAGCAGCCCTATCTAGCTGGGGCCTAGGGCTGATCTGGCGCGCTAGTAGTTTAGTGAGCAACCACACCGCGTGTTTCGACTTTTTTTGTGGACGGCCGTCGATTGCCAGGCTGCTGTTCATGGTCAATTAATTGGTCGTGGTTCTGGCACCGGGGTCAAGCTAGTGGCTCTCTAATCCATATCATTACGGTAGAGAGTGACCGGAGCTGCCGATACACTGTGCGTGCTTGTAGTAGAGCTAGCTTGTTTCCCAGCCATGACGTTTGTGTGTTGCCTTGGCGTGTACTTAAAACAAGCACGCGCATGGCGTGTAAGGCGGCAGCAACTTGGCTGACATGGCGGCCGAATGGTTGGCCTGATCCTCTATGCAGTCTGCTGACGTCATGCTTGGCCGATCTTATAGACTAGCCAAAATGGAGAGTAACATATACTAGTAACATACACATATCTCTAGACTATGTTACTATCTTTATAGTGAGTAGTAACATTAGTATGGTAACACGCAAAGCCTTATTTATTAGGTTATAGACTCGTATTGCATTAGGACATGTGATGTTACAGTAACTAACTAAGTTACTCAAACTATCTCTCCCCTCATTAACTCATTGCTACATAAGCAAATTTGCTTAGTTGGATTCGATGTTACTGCTAAAATTACTCTCACTGTGACTAGTCTTAGGCGTCGAGACATTACCCAAAATTAACCTTCAACCCTGAGCCTGAAAGCGAAATTAAGGGTTTGACCCTGAACCGCCGAGAGCCAAGAAATGCTGTGGGCTGCGAGGAGCGAGCCTAACATTAATGGTATCCCAGAAGGCCAGAACCCAGATGGGAATGAGCATACATCTAGGTTGACAGCGTCTCATCTACAATAATACTGTCTTGAGATATTCTCAGACGACCGACCGTTTCTTTTTTTTTCTCTGCGGGAAAGACATCCGCCAGTTTCGTTGTTTCTGCATCACAGATGTTTACTAGCGTGGTATACACGAAGGACTAAAGCTCCATTCAGGCAAAAAAAAAAACAGAGGACTAAAGCACCATTCAGGCAACAAAATAGGCGCATGATTGTACTACGGCGATGATAGCTTTTCTGGAAGCCACGGCATCACTATTCGAGGCAAATTTGGCAATTTTGACCTGTGGATGAAATCATTTCACAAAATGAATTTCCTTTAAAAAAAATTCACTCAGCTGACCTTTTTGAGTAACGCCCGACACGGAGGCGCCACACTACACTGTGCAACGCCTGAGTGACAGGCGTTACACGCCTGGCCAGCCTCGCACCATGAACTGCGTAAAAATTACTAAGTAAATGTGCAGCGGCTAAGAGCTAGGCGCCACACTATATTGTGCACGTCGCCTCAAGCCAGCGCAAGGAACTTCGCCTCCATCTCCATGCATCGCATGCAGCAGCTGGGTATCACGTCTTTTCAGATAGGCCGGAACGGATACACGCGCAGCAGCCCTCTCTTTACTCCCTGTACGTTGCAACAGCTGCATCAAGGATTGGATGGATGGAATAGCAGTGCATGCAGCTGCACCTGCTGCGGCAAGCAGCTTTCTTGTCTCGTTGGAGTACTACTAGTAGTGCTAGCAGTTTTGTAGCCCTGTGTTTGCTGCGCGCCTGCAAGCAGCGGCAACTGTATAGTGCAACGCCTAGGGTCTAAGGCGCTACACTGTATAGTGTGACGTAGCTCTTAGGCGTTGCACATTGACTTAGTAATTTTTCGGCAGTCCGAGATGCTACGTTGGTCAGGCGTGTAGCGCCTGTCAGTCAGGCGTTACACAGTGTAGTGTGACGTCTTCGTATCGGGCGCCACTCAAAAAGGTCAGCTGAGTGAATTTCTTTTAAAGAGAGTTTATTTTGTGAAATGATTTCATCCACAGGTCAAAATTGTCAAATTTGCCACTATTCGATGAGACTACCCACACAATGCCGGAGAAAGCAAGAAAAATGTTTATCTGAAATGCACGCATCTTTGCACAAAAGGATGCATGATTGCCATGCACAAGTATGACCCACGGTCGTGGAATAATTGAGAACCTGCCAACCACCTCAGGATGTGATACGGCGGCGGATCAGAGGCTAGCGACATGCAATGAACACCCATCCAATTAAGCCCTCCAGTGGCACTATCACGCATCCTCCAAAGCCCGAAGTGGTACAGTCAAAACTAAAGACAAGGCAATATATATTAATTAGTTGATGGCACTATCTTGTACCCAAGCCAACTTTATACTACTAGCACTACTCTCAATCCTCTGGGTTCTCCCAACAGGCAACAACTTCCGCAGTCGCCTTACGGGTGATCTTGAGCGAGGCATACTTGTCATCTGAAAAGCATAAAACTGTACATCAACACTATGAGGTACCCCAGCTCATACTAGTGATTGTATTTCAAACTGATAACTCGTTGTAGTAGCATTACAACAGACAATGCTTGCACTAATTTTCTCATGAACAGCCATAATATTACCTTAACAGCCCAATAACGTAACAGAACACACTGATTTATAGTGACAGCAATATTCGTTCCCATGAACTTCAATGCAAGAAAGATGCGGCAGACGAGATATTGCAAGATGCAATGCACATAGGAAAACGGTAACACACCTTACTCGGGCTTTGGCTCATTGATGACTGCACCCACACTCTTAAACCAGCGTATCAGGTTGCGGTGGTCCTTCACATAGAGCCACGCTTGTAGAAACGGGAAGAGCTTCTCATTTATGCCACGGGCCTCAATGTAAAAATGGAATGCATCACGCACCTTCTCATCCAACTCTCTGTCAACCCAAACGCAAATTTCGATAAATTATAAATAAAACCTAGCAAGTTAACACTCATGGCATCTGTTACTTTGTTAGTATTATCATGTACAAACAAGGCTAGCACCAGTACAAACCGAATTACTCTATCAGCGGGCAATTAAAAATTAAACATCACATGCTTCTGCATACCAGGGAAAACAAGCAACCACAATCCAAGCAGCTATGCAAAGTTGCAAACAATAGCAGCACACAGGACAACTCATCGATTATTACAGAAGGGTTAGGATCAGTGCTTATAAGAAATTCAATTTGGATATCCATCTGCATTGATATCCGCTCTCAAGAGGGCCTATTCAAACAAAGGTGACTGGGTCACTGGAGAACAATGTAAATGATCTTTAATATTAGAATAAATATCAAGAAACCATAACTATTGGGACATAGAGGTTTCAAAAAGCCACAACTTATGGAATTTATTTCACTTAACCATAACTCTTGGGGCACATGGTTACAACCCAAATCATATGTTTAGCTAGGTCAACAGCAATTCCGACCTACAGGGTCCACTGGCCAGATCTGAGTGACAAAAAGGCTGGGTTTGGAAGAGCTCATAGACCAGTCAAATAAGCCAGAAGCTATCCCTGATCAAAAGCTTAAAAACAGCTTAATCTCACAGGCCATTCGTTTTCCCGTTAGTGGCAGGAAGCCTCGAATGTGAGGCTTCCTGAGCTACTCAGCGCCCTCACCCACCATCCTCATGGCAATGCCCCTAAACTTCATGAAAATTACATCAAATATGCTTCCGGAGTGAATGCTGCTTTGCCACATGCTGGCTGGTACATATATATTTGAGATTAGGGCTTTGGTCTGAGACATAGCAATGGGCTTTCATCCAGGAGTCTGAGGTCAGGGAGGCTTTAAAAAAGATGAAAGGAGGCAAGGCGATGGGCTCTGATTGTATCCCCATTGAGGTGTGGAGAGGCTTCAGAGACATAGTGATAGTATGGCTAACTAAACTTTTCAACCTCGTTTCTCAGGCAAACAAGATGCTAGAAGAATGGCTGGAGTATATTAGTACCAATCTTCAAAAACAAGGGGATGTTCAAAGTTGTACTAATTAAAGTGGAATTAAGCTGACGAGCCATACAATGAAGCTATGAGAGAGAGTCATTGAGCACCGCTTAAGAATAATGACAAGCGTGGCCAAAAATCAGTTTGGTTTCATGCATTGGAGGTCGACCATGGAAGCCAGTTTCTTGGTACGCCAACTTATGGAGGGATACATGGAGCAAAAGAAGGACCTGTGTATGGTGTTCATTGACTTGGAGAAGGCCTTTTATAAGATACCGCACAATGTCATGTGGTGGGCCTTGGAGAAACACAGACTCCCAACAAAGTACATTATCCTCATCAAGGACATGTACGATAATGTTGTGACAAGTGCTCGAACAAGTGATGGCGACACTGATGACTTCCTGATTAAAATTGGATTGCACAAAGGGTTAGCTTTGAGCCATTATCTTTTTGCTTTGGTGATGGATGAGGTCACAAGGGACATACAAGGAGATATCCCATGGTGTATGCACTTTGCGGATGATGCCGTGCTAGTCGATGATAGTTGGATGGGGTTAATAGAAAGTTAGAGCTATGGAGACAAACTTGTTGTCTGTTTTAGGCTTAGTAGAACTAAAATCGAGTACATGAGGTGTGGTTTCAGTACTACTAGGCACAAGCAGGGGGAGGTTAGCCTTGATGGGCAGGTGGTACCTCGGAAGAACACCTTTCGAAATTCGGGGTCAATGCTGCAGAAGGATGGTGATATTGACGAAGATGTGAGCCATCAAATCAAAGCCGAACAGATGAAGTGGCGCCAAGCTTCTGGCTTTTTCTGTGACAAGAGAAGAGAGTGCCACAAAAGCTAAAAGGCAGGTTCTATAGGATGGCGATTCGACCCGCAATGTTGTATGGTGCTGAGTGTTGGCCGACTAAAAGGCGACATGTTCAACAGTTTACGTGTAGTGGAGATGCGCATGCTGAGATGGATGTGTGGACACACAAAGAAGGATCTGGTCCGGAATAATGATATACGTGACACAGCTGGGGTAGCACCGATTGAAGAGAAGCTTGTCGAAAATCATCTGAGATGGTTTGGGCATATTCAGCGCAGACCTCCAGAAGCTCCATTGCATAGCAGACGGCTAAAACATGTTGATAGTGTCAAGGGAGGTTGGGGTAGACCAAACTTGACATGGGAGGAGTCCGTAAGGAGAGATCCGAAGGACTGGAATATCACCAAAGAACTAGTCATGGACAGGGGTAAGCTAGCTATCCATGTACCATAACCATCAGTTGGTTGTGAGATTTTATGGGTTTCAGCTCTAGCCCACCCCAACTTGTTTGGGACTAAAGCCTTTGTTATTGTTGTTGTTGTATTAGGGCTTTGGTCTGAAATTTGATGAATTAACAGTTCAACCGCAGTCTTACATTGCCTTGATGGGTGCGGGGTGATATATTGGTGGACAACGATCCAACCAGGCTGGGTTCAACCCATTCCAGGTGAGTGTGTGACGAGGCAGTATCATCTTGGTCATTTTGCCACATCAGATATGAATCAGTGTGCCTGCAGGTCAGAGTCACTGTCAACTGAGCTGTGACGCAAGATTTGGGGTGGGCTCCTATAACCGACCACCCCAATAGTTGTGGTTAAGTAATTTCTCCCCTAAAAGTTCAGTTTTCTATAACTTTGTCCCAACATATGCGGTTCCTTGATATTTATACTACATATTTCAATTCGAACTTCTCCAGCATTGTGCATATTGGAACCAAGTAGGCACATGCATTCTACACCCCTATTTCCTTCAAGACACGATAGCAGTAATTTAACCAAGTATACCATCATGCAACATTAAGATCATCCTATGTCTGCAGGCAGCCAGCCATTGTTGCAGGGCCACAGGCCTAAGATTCTTTATCGAAGTATCACCATCTCTAAGATAGCAAATCACCATTTGTTCACAACATGTAAAATTCTAAAGATAGTGACTACAGAGTACTAACTACAAAAGGACTTGGCAATGAAAGATTCCCATACGAGTACCAAGTTCTGAGCACATTGGTATACCTAAAACTCTTCCTTTGACACAAAATATCCATGTTTTCAGTTCTCATGACGCATTGCCAACAGCTACTTCATACAAAACAACAGGCAATATGCAGCTGAAATATCTCCTCACACCACTTGCAGGATGTTCTTACTTCTTGGTGCCCTTATTAAAGTTTCAATTTGAATTGCCTGCCATCATTTATGATCGATTGATTATGAATGAAACCACCATCTTTGAGCCTATGTCTTACATTGATTAGTTAACAAATAGGTCGTGTCATAGCTAACAAATAGAAAATCTGTTTTACTCAATTCTATCAGACAGAATCAATCTAAAGGATGTTGTCAACAAAGCCTCTACACATATAACACCAGATCACCAGCTCCCCGAATCGGTCAACCTAATAACCTATTAACCAGTTTTATATTGCGCAACAAATTAGATTCCTCCTAAAACTGAAGCACTGACTTTACCGTACAAGCTCATGTGTTAACAAAATTACAAACAATCAAATTCGCACGCATTGAGAAGAAATAACTCACTGGAAGATGCGGCCCTGGTACTCGCCACCGCCCTTCGCCGCCGCGGCCACCGCCACCGCACCAGACGCGGCCGTCTTCGACCGAAGGCAGACGGAATGGATCCCGACGGCGTCGGGGTACAATCCACAGAGGAACTGCAGCGACTTGCTGCTCTCCGGCCTGGAGATGTCGACGTGGAGGAAGAGCTGGCTGATTGACCCGCTCACCCCACCTGCGCCGTCGGAGCCGTCGGAGTCAGAGTCGGCGCCGGGGGGCATGATGTTGGAGAGCCTGGCGACGGAGATGGAGATCTCCTCACCGGCCTCGCCGTAGCTGCGGCGGAGCACGGGGCCCGAAGTCTGGTCCAGGGCGCCCTTGACGATGGTGTAGGGCTTGGGCGGGCTGATCTTGGGCGGGGGCGTCATTTTGGAGACCTCGAGGTAGTGCTCCTTGAGGGAGCGGAGGAGGATGGAGTTCACGGCCGAGGAGGACGCGACTGCGGTGGCCGCGGCGGAGGAGCGTGGCCGTGGTGAGTTGGAGAGGGCGCGGCGAAGGAGCGCCGTGGCGGCGGAGGGGGCGGCGCGGCGGAGCATCCTGGCGAGGCGGAGAGAAGGGTTTAGGGGTTACTGCGGATGGGGAATTATGCGGTTTGTTTGTCTGTTTATTTTCGTCCAGAGGAAATTACGGCTGCTAATGACATGTGGGCCGAATGGTACAGTTTGCTGTCTTTCTCATTAACCGTGTTTTCTCCTTCGAGTTAGAATCGTAATGGTTTATCAGGACATGTTTGGCTAGATAGCTGATTTTCATACCTAGACTGAAAATATAGAAGAATCAGAAGATCAAAATACCTAAAGACGATTGACGCTCTGGAGTGTTTATCATGTGGGATCTTAGCATGACGATTTTTTGATTGTCTACTACAATAAAATTTGCCTATACTATAAAGGAGGATCGATGATTGTGACGCTCACTCAGCTCGCTCTACTCCTTGTAGTCGCTGATATGTGGTCTATGAATCTGAATGTAATCTGTATCACTTCTTATGTTCTTTATACTGCCTTGACAGTTGATAAATAGCAGGTTGTGAGTTTTTCCTAAAGAAAAATATTAAAGATAGGTAAAAATAAAAAATATTCAATAACACAATAAATTATTTGCACAATAAAGAAGTAATATTTTCATTAGGAAATAGCAAAAAGGAGATTAGTAGTAAGAAACAGTTTGCACAAAACACAGAAAATGTGCAGAAAAGTGCAAATGAAGTTTACAAAATCAAATTAATAGTTGAAACATATTGAGCAATACAAAAGTAAGTTGCATATTATAAATACTCGGGTTGCACAGTTTGAAAATGCAACCTGTACATCCTTAAAGTTAAATAGAACAATTTTAGAAAACTCAAAATGTATGACTAAAAGAACCAAATAAAAAAATCACATAACAAATACATGTTGCTTTTTTTGCGAGGGTAAAGGAGTTTTATTCCAAATGAATAATGTTACAATCGAGAGGCAAAAGTTCCTCTATATAGGTCGGACCTCTATCTAGCCACACAACAGTAGTACTCTTCGTACGACTATAGAAAGACAAACGATCTGCTATCCTATTTTGCTCACGTTTAATCTTTAGTGGAATAAACTCCTTCTCTACTATAAGATGCTTGATCTCAGCAACTAAATGACCATATGCCGACTGGGATAGGTTGTCTCCAGTCAAAGCCAAAAGTGCCTCCGAGGAATCAGATTGAAGGATGACCGGTAAGTTAGTGTGTTGGACTGCCAGAGCCATACCTTACATTAGCGAGTGTAGCTCCGTCTCTAATGCATCATTACAATTAAATAGACAACGGTAGGCCACAAAGATCACACTTTCATCATGTTTCCTCAAGATCATACCAGCCGACGCCGATTCATCCACCATGGAGAAAGCCCCATCAATGGATAAAGCGACCCTGTTCGCTGGTGGGCTCGGCCATTGCATTTAAAGAAACATGAAATTAGCTTGGATAAAAAGAGATGGTTAATTTTGCAATAAAACAAATATAATCGACTTATTGCACCAAAAGAACAATGAATCAACTAAAGCGTATTCATTCAAAAAAAACAAAGCGTAACCATTTTCTGTTGCTTTCTGACTATAGCGAATTATTTTGTTTTCGGTATTACTAGCAAGGAAATTAACTCGAGGGACCAAATTTTGGTATAAAACCAATTAGCTTAATTTATTTCCTAAAAACCCCCCTCTTAGAGCATCTTCAATAGATGGTTCAAATTTTGGCGGTCCAAAACCGGAGATGTAAAATATGAACCGCCAAAAAATGTGTTTTGGAGCTTTGAAAAATGCTCAACTCCAACAGATAGTCCAAATCGGAGATGTAAAAGAGCAACTCCAACAAATGGTCCAAAACAAAGATGTAAAATCGCCTTGATCGTCTTCTTCAACCTCGGGACGTCGGCCGCCTTCGTCAAATCCATCGCCATCAAGCTCTCCCCGACCTCCCTGAGCGCGCCATCCTCCCCATGATGAGCTTCTATCCCAATCCCCCTATTTTCCCCCTTCGGTCGGTGTCGTTTGCCACCGCTCTCGTGCTCGTCTGTGGTCGCCATGGCCGGAGCCCGACCTCCCCTGTACGTGCTCCTTTGCCGGCCAGCAGCGACGAAGGCGGGCAGCAGCCGACGCGAACACCACGAGCAGCGATGGAGGCGGGCAGCAGCCGTCGCGAACACCACGGCCAGCAGCTCGGCAGGACAGGGTCAGTGCGGGGCGGCGGCGGGGCCGGGAGGCGGTGGCAACGGTGCGGGCCAGCGAGCAGCGGCGGGCAGCGGAGGCGGGCGGCGGCCTAAGGACCATGCGGAGGCCTACATGGGCAGCCGGGCCGCCGGAGGTGCTGAATCCCACCGCGACTGCCTCCCGATTTGGTGGCGCCCGGGCGGCTGCGAGACGGCTTCCGGCGAGGGAAATTGTGACGCCCGGACAATTGAGCTACAGTAAGCTCATCCTAATGTGCCATGTCATCATGTTTTGTTAAAGCTATTCTGCCACTTGATGAAAACCGAGTCAAATTCAAGTTTCAAATAACAACTCAAATTCTTATTTCTTCAAACTGTCAAATAAAAATGTTGGTAGTGTTGCAAATATTCATTAACTAATTATCATGATTAATCCAACATTATTTGATTTACTAAAATTCCCCTAACCTAGTTAAAACTGAGCTGGCAACGGTTAATTGATACATTTTAATTTAAATAAATGTTTGGGCTTTCCGAATATTTCCAGAGCTTGTGTGTGGTCTTGATACATTGTCTAGTATTTACGTATGGAATGTCTAATGCAACGAAAATCAGTTGTTATTAACTTAAATTGCAAAACAGTGTGGAAAATGAAAACACAAAGAAAATATGAAAATGAAACTAGAAATAAACCTAACCTACTAGGCACTTGGCCCATCTAGCAAAACGGCCCAGGCCAACCCCCCACTTGCCTCCCACCTCTCGCTACAGGAGGCGGGGAGACCGTGGCACGCATCCACGGCCATGGTCGCAGCCATGGCGTGCGTGGCGGCCATCGAGCCCCTCCCCGACGCCTTATGACCTATGTCGCGCCCCTCATAACCCTAGCCCCTCTCTATTCTCCCCCCATCTCTCGCGCCGCCTCCTCTTCCCGCGCCATCACCGAGCTTCGCTCGTCGCCGCGCCTCGCCGTGGCCTTGACCAACGGCCTTCCCGAGCCACGTGAATACGTCGAGGAGCTCCGCCCGCCTCATCCTCATCGACGCCAAGCAGCAGCTCAAGCGGCGGAGCACCGCATCGCCGCCATCGTGGCATCCTCTCCGCGCACGGCCGTGGCACCTCGCCACCGATTGCATCACCGTCGAGTCGTCCCTGGCCTCCCCGAGCGCGTCATCGAACTCCGCGGTGAGCCGCGCTACCTCCCGCATATTTTTCCCCGTCGATTCTCCGCTGTAACTCCACCCGTGCTCGCATGGCCGCTATGGCCGGAGCTAGCCGCGGCCACACCAGCGTTCCGCCCGCGCTCTGGCCGTCCATGACCGCGCGTCCTAGCCTGCCGCCGCTCCCCGACCGTGGCAAGGCGCCCGCCCACGCAACCACGGCCCTGCCTGTTGCCCGCACGCTGCTATGGCCGCTGGCTTCTGCTGCTGCTCCTCCTCTGGCCGCGGCTGATCATTTTACCTGCTAACCCTCTTGTCGTCGATGTCGTTTGCTGCTGCTGCACCTTGTACTGCTACTGCTGCTGCTTTCCTACGCTGATGCTCTTGCTGTTGAGTCGTTGTTCCCTTCTACTGCTATCTCCGTTGCTGCTCATAGCCACAGCCGCCGCTGCCTTTTGCTGCCACTGAACGCTCCTTGGCCTCGGTTGTGGCCGTAGCCATGGCCGAGTGTCCTGTGCGGTGCATGTGTGCACATGCGTGAGGCTTGCTATGCCTCTGGCCGGACTGTTCAAATTAGATTAGGCCTAATCATACTAGTTAGATAATTGCTACACTATGATATATGGCTCCATTTAAGTTAGTTTTTATTTATTAGATTAGATTTAACTTTGTGACATGTGGGCCACCACCTCCCTTTTGACCAGTCAAATTGACTTGGTCAACTCGAATTAAAACAAAACCAGAAATTTTAGAATATTGTTAGAACCTTAGAAGATCATATAAAATAAACCGTATATCAGATGAAAATGTTTTGTACATAAAAGTGTCTCAGAATTTCGAAATGAATCCGGTTACGCAACCCGTTCGTCCGCCACACATCCCTGGCATATCCAACACGCAACTTTCCCCTTCCGGTTCATCTGTCCGAAAACGTGAAACACCGGGAATACTTTCCCGGATGTTTTCCCCCTTCACCGGTACCACCTCGTACCGCGTTAGGGCACGCCTAGCATCACGCTTTGTCATGTCATGCATCGTCATGCTTTTGTTTGCATTATATTTATTGTTTCTTCCCCCTCTTCTCTCGCTAGACATCGAGACCGACGCCGCTGCTACCCAGTACGACTACGGTGTTGACGACCCCTCTCTCTTGCCAGAGCAACCAGGCAAGCCCCCCCCCCCTTGATCGCCAGATATCTCCTACTCTCCTCTATACTGCTTGCATTAGAGTAGTGTAGCCTGTTACTGTTGGAAATATGCCCTAGAGGCAATAATAAATTAGTTATTATTATATTTCCTTGTTCATGATAATCGTTTATTATCCATGCTAGAATTGTATTGATAGGAAACTCAGATACATGTGTGGATACATAGACAACACCATGTCCCTAGTAAGCCTCTAGTTGACTAGCTCGTTAATCAATAGATGGTTACGGTTTCCTGACCATGGACATTGGATGTCGTTGATAACGGGATCACATCATTAGGAGAATGATGTGATGGACAAGACCCAATCCTAAGCCTAACACAAAGATCGTATAGTTCGTATGCTAAAGCTTTTCTAATGTCAAGTATCATTTCCTTAGACCATGAGATTGTGCAACTCCCGGATACCGTAGGAGTGCTTTGGGTGTGCCAAACGTCACAACGTAACTGGGTGGCTATAAAGGTACACTACAGGTATCTCCGAAAGTGTCTGTT